AGATATGTCTTTTCATTTTAAATAGTGATATTTTTGCATGTAGCTTTTAAAAATCCCGTACGCGCGCGCTTTCCATGAAGTAATCTCTATGTTCTTTGAGTTTGGGAAATCTTTAGAATTACGAATAAAAGCCCATTCTCATGGAAATAAAATACATATATATATATATCCCTTTTTTTTCGTCGTCGTTTTGACCCCCAGGTAGAAATTTAATGCAGGGGGTCTATTATCCGTCACCTTTAACAATTACATGAAGTATCATCGTTAATGATCGCCGATCAGAGGGGTGTTCACTACGAAGAGTTCACTGTACTATGAGTCCAGAGATGTCCAGTTACTTGTTTGCGAGAGAATGGTATATGATTTTATAAAATACCTGTTATGAAGCTCGCGTTCGGTTTGGATGAGAGTGCGTGCTTTATGAGAGCACACAACACGCGCGCGCACACTTGTCATTCGTATCCAAAAAAAAAACAAAAACGGTTACTCTATAATTTGTATTTTATAAAAGAAATAACAAATCATATCATATCATCATATGCGGTGAGAAGAGATAATTATTGGTTCTCTCCTGTGTTTCGAGACATTTTCCCTGGATTCTTTAAAAGTAAAATTCCACTTCGAATATGGAACKAGAGCCATAGTTTCGTTAGCCAACAGTCATTAGTGCTACTAGCGCAAAACAAAGACAATTTAATTAATGAGTGAATTAATGAGTGAAGGTTAATATCCTTCAATTTCAAATGGTCTCACACTCTTATTTTTAGCCATGAGCTTCAGCTTAAATACCCGCTAAAAACGGAGGAGTGCTGATGCAGCACCAGGTGACAGGAGATTGATAAAGTGCGCACCGTCGGCTCAGCTTTTTGCAGCTATAGTATCAGCTGAAAGGCGTCTCACGCTCAAGACTTAATTTACTGTTCTTTGCTTTCGCGGACATTAAGGTGAAGAATAAACTTGTCAATAGAGGTTGACTAGTAAAATAGTATATTGAAGAGCGGAACTTTGTAGAAATAAGATAAGAGTACTAAGCTTGAAAACCTTGATTAGTCTGATCTGCGGATTGTCTCGTTGACATGAGGTTTGATCTAATAGCACTAACAAAAAGTACACTAATATTCAAGATATTTTATAAGTATGTTTAGATATTGCAGCATTTAAAAAGAACAAACTTCATAAAAATGTTTATTGAATCGTCGTGTCTGTCGGTCCGCATTGCGTGCTACGTTTGCGCTGTCTTTCCGTTTGCTTTATGTCTGTCTGTCTATCTGTCTGTCTGTCTGTCTGTCTGTCTGTCTGTCTGTTAGTCACCTGAAAAGCTATAAAGCTGAGGCCGACAAGGATTATGGGTAGATTCATTTTACACGTTCAATCGCTTGATAACTGTTGATGGACTTACGAATCWTTTACCGGTTACAGTCTCACCTCTTCTGAGCATCATCGAGCTGCAGTTTGTATTAATAAAGCTTTGTATATATATGCTTTTTTGATATGAAAAGTTTCCCATGATGCTCAGTGATCTCAGCTTTCTAGGTTTTTGGTGACTAACTTTATTGAAATAAGTGTATGTTGTTTGTCTGTCTGTCTGTGTCTGTCTCTATATGTCCTGCCTATATGTCTTGTCTGTATGTCTGTCTGTCCTGTTTTTATGTCTTGTCTGTCTGTCTGAATGTATGGATAATTAATAATTATAACTTATTTACTTAATATACAGCGCATTTTCCCTATAGATCAAGAGCGCTTTACAATATATTACAAAAAAATAAAATCTAAGTAATACATGAATAAATAAATRAATATTAAATCTTGAAATAGCAAACGATAAAAACTAATGTCTTGTYTGTCCGGTCTGTTAATTTCCGTCCGTATCGCGTCTGGATGTAGGAATGCAAGACTGTCCAGCTGTCTRTCTGTGTGTTCAGTGTCTGACTGTCCGCCTGTCATTTTTGTTCTCTCTTCTTTATTCGCAGATATCATCGTACAGTCGGATCGCACAGTGTTCTATTGTCTAACATCAGCGATAATATTACATTAAAGTAGAGGAAAAAGAAATATAAAACTTTTCCAGAAAAGAGGGCTAAGACATAAAAGATATAACGTAAGACGTGCTGTGATTTACGCTGCTTTTGATTCTATTCTGATTAGAAGAAACCACAGGGCAACTGAGTGTAATTAGATGAGATAAAGCGAAGTGAAATGAAATAAAAATACAACGGAAACGTGCGAAAGTGAAAGTCAGAAACGGAAAGTCTCAAAGGAATGACCCGTTCAACGACTTTTAAAATATCGGTTTCGGTTTGGATTTTTAACCAAAGGCGTTATTCCTTCAAGCCAGGCAATAGTCGGGGCCWTAGAGCAACTTGAAGCTGGTTATTAGGCAGAAGCGAGTAAAAAGTGAGAGAATAAATCAGAAGTGAAAAGGTGTTTCAACGATTCGTCTTGAGCTGAGCTTTTGTTTTAGTCGTACGAATTTAGAATATTCATAATCAGTCTTATATTAACTACGGGATGAATATTTGACTTCTATACATGGATTAGGTCAGTGCATATACATACTAGCGCTATTACGATAAATCATTCAAAGCAAAACTTCAATGCAAAATCTTAATTTTTACTGAAGGATGTCACAGATCGGTAGCACCTGATTAAAGGGGACTACARATACCAAGGTACGGGAATTTTACACGAAGGAATTCGACGCCGCGACCCGGTAACAGCCAAAACAAAACACTAAAACCTAATGTAAACAACAAGCCACTGTTACGGTACGAGATGTCCATATGGGACATTACACCACTATCCTCGTTGAATTAGTAAATTCCCGCATAACTATGATGTCTCAGTATCTATATAAGACACTGACGACAGTACGACACAGGTAACCCAGTAAYAATAACTATGAACAGTAGATCAGTTAATCATATCAGCAATGTTGAAAAATATTGTACTTACCTTTTAGTGATAGCTATTGATTGTTTTTCAACGACGTACGGTGTGTTCCAGCTTTGTCAGTCTCAATGTACAGTTTGACTTTTTCCGGTCGTTATAGTTTTCAGCTCTTGGGACACTTCCTGTCATAAGGCTTGGCACCTTGGCATACTCTATCGCCATAACCATGGTAACGGCAGAGTGTATTAGCAAGAGGAATTGAAGAAAAAGGCAACCTTRATAAAGAGAGTTAAATATTTTTCTGATAACTTTTACTCTTTGCATGCTTTTACGATAATTTGAACTTTTGAATAATATTGACCATTCTGAGGTTATGAAAAAGMCTAGCTTGAGTTGGTATTGCAGTGCATTGTGGTTAGGGAACATATTTYCTAGATGACGTCTATTTAGTTCTMTAAAACACAGGGAACCCGGCTATATTTTGATTGCTTCTTTTATAGCCTGCAGAGCAGGCGTTCTTTTGATGGATTTGGAAGGATGATGATGGATGAGGAAGAATCGGKGTTTTGGGGTTCCTGTTTCGACCAAGGGCCCGCGAGAAATATGGGACCTAGCTCGCTCGTTCCAAAGTTCCCCCAAAACTCCGGTTTTTTCCCCAAACCCACAAAGACGCCTGCTTTGCAGGCTACTTCTTTTAGAAAAGTAACTTTGTAAAGTCATTTAGAGCGCGGATCTGATTACAGCTGGAGTTTATGTAACGTAAACCACAGGGAAGCGATCATAAACCATAGGAAACCCGTAAAGAGCAAAATTAACTTTCTTGAAAGAAGCAATCAAAATATAGTCGGGTACCCTGTGTCTAAAACAGTCCCACAATATACCATGCAAATCCAACATCCCACCCCTCCCCTAATAATATCGTTACTATTGTTATATAACTACCCTCTTCCTTTTTAGCGTGAAGGAAGGGGCATAGCGTGAGTGAGTTAGTTTATAAATAAATAAGTCAGTGGTTCTCTTTTAGTACCTGTAGTTCTTATTCTCTCTGATCTTCTCTGGTTGTCCTCTTCATAATCTATCTTGACCTCATCATGACGTACCTCGTTCCCGTGGTCAGTGTTGTTGTTTTGTTGTTGTTTTTTCTCTCTCTCTCTTTTTTTTTTTTTTTTTTTTTTTTTTTTTTTTTTTTTTTGAGTTTGATCAACATTGTTCTTTTCCACTGTCATTGCCCTTGAACATCTGTCTAGTGAAAAAACTTCGTGACTGACTCCAAATACAACATTACGCAGGAATTCCTCTTTGAGTTTAGTCTTCGCTTGCCTCGTAAAAACAGACTTGAACTCTAACCCAGATATAAGGCAAAATCCTTGCTTGAGAACTGCGCTTGCAGCCTTTAATCTACACATTAGAAAACATTCTCTATTTCTTCCTAGACTGTTTATAACACCGGCAACCGTTCGTTGACTCTGACAAATCCATGCGTTTACAGATGWACAGATGAGCCCAATATATGATGGGTCAGCGGTATTGAAATGTCAAAGGGGAGTAGTTACCTGATTGAGCACCGTGATCGAGGGCAAAAAATACTTTAGAAAGGAAAACATTATTTCTTTTCCAAAGATAGTGTCCTCCATGGAAAACAAACGAGTAAACATTCCATCCAAAATGCACTAGAACGTTTTTTTCGCGCGCACCTTCGCTTTCCTATAATATTCTACTGTGGTATCTTATTTATGCTGTTATGTACAAATGCTTTTATTGCAAGATTATCTTGACCTCGAATACAAAAAATAAAAAATAAAGTCACCTTTTTCTTGATTTCATTTCAATCTCGTACTTTTATCGAAATTGGGCTCCCTGGGTTAAAACCGAACAGGTTTTTTTTAATTTTTTTTTTTACATTTTTGTGCTTGGAATGATGTTTCTTTCAAGCAAATTTTATTCGAACAAAATTCYGAATCCAGTATTCACCCTGAGTGCAGCCGCTTGTAGTCTCCCTCGCATCCGTTTTTAGTGTCGGTCGTCACGCAACGTGAAGATCGACACTAAAAACGGATGCGAGGGAGACAAAGCCGCTCGTAACTGTTTTTATACTTGGTCTACCTGTGGTTTAATCAACTTACCAAGTAGGGGTGGGAGGGGGATTATTACTCCAGGTGCTYGAATCGTTCATCTGTTGAAGACGAAAAGATGGCGGAAGGCGTTGCAAACRACGGTTATCACGAGGATCTTACTCCTTCAATCGACTCCCTACCACCCCCAGRATACCAAGGATCTTCAGCTATGAGTAGCGAAGGACACAGTGAAGCAACGAGTGGCGAGGTACCAAACGTGGAAGTTCGCAACAGCCCGCCTCTTTATAATCAAACGACGCCATTAACAGCACAACAGATGCAAGAATTGACTGAAAAAATGAAACGAGAGGAAGCTAAGAAGTATTTTTCCTTGAGGGTAAGTATAAATGATGTTAATTATTGGTTGGCTCGACTTTATATTCGAGGGCTTTGTTGATCGTTTATTCAATCATGTCGTTTAAGCACGATTCCCTCAAAAACAACTCAAAAAACATTGTGAAACGAGAATGCTTATTTTCTTCTAACTTGTCATAATGATTTTGAAATAATATCTCTTTTTAACGTCTAAGGATTGATTTACCCAAAAAAAAAAAAAAAACAAAGAAAATCATACCATTCTTTGGGTATACGTGCGCGTACGTTCTAAATATGATCTGTCATTATTTATTTATACCTATATGACGTCATATGAGTCAAAAACAATCTGCATTAAAAAAAGTGATTGAGAAAAGATTTTAACTTCTTTATTAAATTCAGACTTCTAAAGTAATGGGTTAATTAAGAATTTATTTCGTATCTGAAGCGAGACTGATCTGAGCTCCAAGGATTACAGGTTATATCACAGGGTGCCCAATTTAGATRAAGGTGAAAATAAAAAATTTCAATGTATGTTATAACAACAATAAAATGGTTACAGCTGACTTGTACACACTTTTTACTTTTTTCCTGAAATTAACATGAAAAAATGGGGTGCATATTATGCATGGGAGTGCATTATTCTTTGATCGCACGTTACATCTTYGTGGCCTCTCAGGGAGCAATGCTGCCATTTAACAAAAGTTTTCTTATTGGCATCCATTGTTAATGGCACCACAATGGCAGCTATGCTTTTATCTTTTAACTCTCTKGGGAATTCTTGTAACCCATTAATACATGGGCGTTTACGGTATTAAAAATTGACTTTAATTAATGTTTTGTATTCAATGTCAATATCTTGTCGTCCATAACACAAATAAGCGAAAAAAGCAATATAAATAAATATTTAAATAACTATAGATATTTTTTCACACAMCTTTGTTTCCTAATATATGATAGATCTTTTTCAAGCTCCAAATTACCACTTTGTTCCTTGATTACAAGTTAGCTTATGATTTACTCAGAGTTAGCCTCAGATCAGTATACTGTTAACATTCACAAARACCAACAGTAAAGTAAAGAATGCACAACTTCAACAATCTCAACACTTTGAAATCCTACCAACTTTACTGGAAAAACATGAATATTCTGCAAATCAAGGCTATCCTGAGAGACAGAGAACTCRAAACTGGAGTATTTCCCTGTGTAGTATATTCTGTGTTGTCCATTTTTACAAATGTTATTAAGTGGGAGAGTAGTAAGGTCGAAATTGGTCTCACCCAAGTCCAGTGCAATAAACAACATGGTTTGGAGCRCGTGCTTTATGAGAGGACATTGCACGCGCGTGCACTTTCCGTTGCGTCATTGCTATCTATTGTTGTAATTTGTATTTTATAAAAGAAATAAAAAACTTGCTTGCTGTGCTGTGTGCAGTCATAAAGCACTTGGGGGTTGGCAGAACACTCGAGAAGTGTCGAGAAGCACTCCGCTACGCATCGTGCTTCTCCTAACACTTCTCTCGTGTTYTGCCAACCCCTGCKTGCTTTAGGGGGATAATACACCTATTTCAATAAACGTTRTCATCGCCAAAAAGCTATAGGCAATAGGCAAAAARCTATAGGAGATAGGTCATTCTCGGATCATTAGGAGCTATGCTAGAGGCCTAGCAATGTMTCATTTTAAAACCGAGGGTAAATAAAGTTTATCTATCTATCTATTCCAAGATACGAGAATAGCTGGAATTACTTGCGTTTCTGCTTCTTATTCTCATCAAGAACCTGGAGCTTAGTTTTTATTGAAATTGATTCAAGATTCTTTGTATTCAACAAAACCATTTTCATGTCAGAATGACCTATTGCCTTTGGCGATGGTAATGTTTATTGAAATAGGTGTATAAAAAACAAAGGYGAATGTGGAAAAAATGTCCTAATGCATTTTTAATTGATTTTTTTTTTCTCCTTTGCATCAAGTTCTGAAGCTTCAAATCAAGATGAATTCACTCAGAGAGTAGGGGATCTCAATGCTTCTTGCTAATCATTAATTACTTATAATCATGTTTTTTTAGGAAGGACAGTTTACTAATGCCATTGAGAAGGAATGCAAGGAAATTATAAATGAGGAAGAAGATGGAAAAATAATGAGCTCATACCTCCTTACAGAGTAAGTTTGAGATGTTTTTGTCTTGGGCGTAATGTTATCCATTTCCTGCAACCACTTGTTATTCCCTCATTATTTTATTTAAGTTGTATTGAAATTCTTTTGTCTTTAATTCTCATAAACRATAGTTTAAAATATATATACACTGTACTCTAAGGAATAGGCCTTTTGCAACAACATGTCTCCCCAATTAGTAGGGCACTTGTGCCTGGCTAGAAGATTAGAGACATTAATAAAGTTATTATTATTATTATTATGTCACGTGACCCTACCCCCTATAAAAAAAGACATTTAGTTATTAAAATGAACACCAGAAATTGAAAGAGCACCTCAATATTARTAACTAGGCAAAGTTTTAGCTTGTAATGTTGCCTATAGTAGAAATGGCATTAAGTATATAATTGAATATTTTGTAAGGATTTGTATGGGAAAATGTGCTGTGGTATAGCTTGCCCTCCAGCACATTTCCCCATACAAATCCTTATAAAATATTCAGTTTTATATTTAATGCCATTTCTCCTGTGTTAGATGTTATAAGCAGGAATAAAAATTGCCTTCTTAGTAATATTGAGGTGGTCTTTCCATTGCTGTTGTTAATTTTGACACAATGTCTCTTTCTATGGGGCTAGGGTCACGTCACCTGTTGTTGCAAAAGGCCTATTGTATATGGTTTAAAATAAAATGAAGAAATAGAAAACGTGTGTGTGTGCTCTGTGCAGTTATATAGCATGCGGGGGTTGGCAGAACACAAGAAAAGTGTTAGGAGAACACATGTGTGATAAAGCAAGCAGAATTGCAGAACATGAGAAAAGTGTTAGAAGAAGTATAAGCCTAAGCAGATCTACTGTATTGTGAGACTTATACCAGTTATTTTTTTAAATTTTAAGCATTATCCTCGAAAACAAGTCAGAATACAAGTATCAACTGTGAACATCAATATATGTATTTTATAGGTAGTGTTTAATAAACGAGCAGAAGTGTTTTATCAGGATTTAAAAACACGATCGAGGCATGGCCTCATGTTTTTAGACCTGATAAAACACGATCTGCAAGTTTATTGAACGGCTTAACAGATACAACACAGACACAAATACTGTAGATTGCTTGTCAAATTTCTAGGTTAGTTCCTTTGTGTTTCGCTAAAATTTTCAAAATTAAAGTGAATCTGGCCAAGAAAATCCAACTTAAAGTTTATGCAAATGAACACAATTTTGTATCAGATTTACAACACTCTTCAGGGTTGTGATTTCTGTTGTGTTTTCCTCATGAATTATTAATGAGTTTGACAAGTTTTCATATATTGTACTGAATTCTTTACGAAATGAACCAAGTTTGATAGAGAAAATCCAAGTTAAAGTTTATGCAAATGAAGATATAAAACCTCCTTCATGGTCATGATTTCTGTTGTGTTTCCTTCATGAATTATTAATGAGTTTTTTTAAATATTGCATACAGGATTGATCACTGGGACCAYGAAAAGGAAAGAATTGTGATGATAACGGAGAAGAAGCTAGTGCTGATCAGGTACAATTTCATWGGTCTGAGGGTGGATGACCATCGTAAAATACCGCTGATCAGCTGTGACAAAATACAAAGTGGACGCTTCACTTACCCCAAGAACACCATGATGATGTAAGTACTGAATTAAAGATTTATTGAGTAGAATTTATCATTTGCAAAAACCAACTCCCTGTGTAACAGTAATTCATATTTCCAAAAGAAAATTATTAAAAACWAGGTTACTATAGTTCCAGTTAATAAATTTATATAACTTGCAAAGAACACATGTATATAATTTATTATTTGCTACCTCAGATCTGAGGGTTATGACTTTGAAGGCTGAAAGACTTGAGATGATTGCTTTACCTTAGCTTTAAATTGACCAAATCCACTTGGGCATGTTGTTTTCCCTTTTCAGACAACATGTCATTCTGTAGAGAATCATTTCTTTGTTTAATGGTTGAGCATGAGAAGACACATGAATATAGATACAACTCAAGCAAAGAATCATATTCTCAAGCTAGGGAATGACAAAGGTCTGAAATGAGGGAAAATTACACTGAAGTGCATTAAGATTAGTTTTACACACTAAAATTCAATTAGTACATTAAGTGCATTTATAACAATCTCCATGACATTTCAATGCCTCATGCTATGATTATCATTATAATACAAATTCTGTTCTGCATTTAGAACTTGGTTATTTGCGACAAAACCATGAGCTACCTTTGCTAGTTGAGTTCAATGYCACATCACACTAATAACATTTTGAATAACTGTGCTTGCAAAAATTAAAGTTGAATGACAACAAGCAATACCACCAAATTATAAACCGTGCTTATTTATTTATCATTTAATTAACAGTTGCAATTTGGCAGAAACGTAAATTTCTTGACACACACAATATAGTATTAGTATTAACGTTTCAAACACCAGTTGCTGTATTCTATTTGGGTTTCAAAATCCGAATGGAATTTTAAGCTCCACGAGGATTTTGAAACCCCAATAGAATACAGTGACAAGTATTTGACACAACATCTTATACTCTTTTTGTTATGTTTGTTTTTATTTCAAAGTTCTAATACTTTGAAACATTTCAAAGTCCGAGTAGTAGGACTTTGAAATATTTCAAAGTACTAGAACTTTTTGAAATGGGTGCGGTCGTATTTGATGGGGGTTTCAAACTACTGCACGTGGTACAAATAAGAAACCCTGGTTGGTCGATGAGCTCATGAATAATGAATGAGTATAAGATGTATTCTCAAGAAAACACAAAAGCTAAAAATCCCTGGCCTGGAAGTCATCATGAACAACGACTTGTTTGGTTTCAGCCCTCGACATTTCCAAACTGGTCTGAGAGTTTACATGAACAAAAATGTCCWTCCTACATTTTTGCAAAACTGGAATCCCTGGAGTAAAGAAATGCCGTTTGTCACGTTCACTTGGCACAAAGCCTTGGGTTATCGTGACGATATTCCGCGATTCATGGATCTCAATGGATTCCAGAAAGATCTTGTTAGTACAATAACCACAGCGCATAATGAACTTCACCCTGGAGTGGCTGAAGACTCTCTTGAATTTAACAACGACCCGATTTTAATCCAAGTTTATTGTGGAGCATCACCCATTGTATACAACTGGAGCATTTTGGGGTTCAATCGTGATAGAGGAAGCTTTGGTTATTAGACAAAGATGTATCGCCTTACTGCAGATACAAAGGCTTGCCATATAGATTCGCATGTTAGCACATCACTGCACCAACAAGAGACTTTAAAGAATGCTTCACAAAATAATATAAATTGATGTATTAATTTGCTAACAAGAGAGTGATTTAGAAGGAGAGAAATAAGCATTCTATAAAAAAAAAATAAAAAAAAAAACAAGGGTCAATCTAAAAGTAGATTTTTTTATGCCTGATTGATGGTAAAACGTTTTTAGATTTTCACGCATCATAGGAAGTTAGGCCCCTGGCTAAACAAGGRAACATTTTTCCAGAAACATGTTTACCGCGCGCATGTTTCCCTGATGTTTCCAAGTTTAGCCACTTGCGAAACATCGCTGTGTGCAACAAATTTTGCTTCCCAGACTCAAAAATGTTTTCGTTCTGCGGCAAAAACATTTCATGACGCATGGAAACAATGTTTCCTCTAGCCACGAAAGTCTACATTCTTAAAGTTAGTTACTTAGCAACGCGCGCTTTATCTTCAAAGTGCGCAGACCCTACCCGATGTTTAGTAAACTTGTTTCCTTGTTTAGCCACGACCTATTGCTAAAGATACTGTGATTTTACTCAGACATTCTAGATTGTTATAGGTCACGATAATGAATGAAAAATCGTTTTACTTACAGAAAGAAATTCGTAATAACAATATTGGCTTTTTATACTCTTCTTATACATGACCATGAACATCCAGACAAGGACAGTTCTTCTTAAGCATGATACGCATGTTATAGAGGTTTTGTACCATCACGTGACGGCATCATGTTAGATGGCGGGAACAATCAATCGTTTTACATGAGAAAKAATTCAATTCCCAAGAGCAAAGGGATCTAACCACAGGCAGCCCAAGCTGTATTATAGGTGTGGGCACGTTATGGTGCAAAGCCTCTATTGGTCATTCTTTAGCTGTTACTTTTGGTTTCGTTTGATAAAATGCATCAACACCTATATTCATTGAGATGCCTTTCCTGAGTCAAACAAACAAATTGCGTTCTGGTCCAGCCTAGGTACATGTGCCCGAGCGATTCGTAATTTCTCGACATAATCTGTTAGCACTTCCTATTTTCCATGGCTCTCCACCAATCAGAAAGCGAGACAATTACGTTTGTGGTAAAAAAAAAGCGCATTATGCAAGATGAAAATTACCAAATGCGTTTGAACCCGAGCTAGAACACTAAGAGAAAGTAGTCCTAACTTGTCTTATACTCGTTGTAAACATTATTAATGATTAAAAAATAATCCTTCCGGCACTAACGAGGGGTTTTCCTCAGCCCTAATTAAAGTATTTCGCTAAGTAACACGTAGTTTGACACTGATTGGTATTTCGTGTTGTCCTGTTCAGAACTTTAGTTATTTATATTGTAAAACTATTAAGAAAATAATGTTTGAATGAATTAAAGGATCGTCATATGCTTCGTAACTAGCTGCTGGCCTTGTTACATGTCGGCACTGGATAGACTAAGAAAAGTAGGAGAAGAGAATTGTAAGGAGAGTCAGTGACGGTCCCTCTTCTGTCAAAACAACGCAAGTCTAACTACCCTTGATTTCTATTTTGGACTTTTTGCATTATAACCCTGCTAGCGAGCCTCCTTTAACTCCTTCACTATAGAGAAGAAAACAGTCCTGTTCGTAGCATTTGGTTTTGATTAAGCACACAGCAAATACCCCTTGCAAGTGACGTCAAAAGAGCTCAATTTGGAGGACAAAACAAAATAATTTCGTTCTATGAGAATTGGATACCTTTGTTTTGTCCTCCAGATTGATTCATTTCGTCATGCTGCAAGGGACTTCGACTTTTGGGAGGTTGAACACTTGATTAGGGGTATTGAATATGTCCCTATGTCATAATTCATGTACTTCTGGGCCGGGTTGTTCAAAGCTGGATAAGCGCTAATCCAGGATTATCTCTATAGGTCTTATTAGAGTTAACCCTGGATTAGCACTAATTGGGCTTTGAACAACTGGGCCCTGGGCATTTCTAAAACCTGTGACAGGCGTTTGTGTGTGTGTTTTTGGTTTTTGTTTTTTAAAGGCTTCAAAGAAATGCGCTTGTGGGTAATAAGATTGTATTGTTAACACTGCGCGTGTATCTCTTACTACCTAGGCTGACTGGATATGCTGACGGCAATCCGCGGCTACTCCAACATGGCGTCAGAATCCACTTCGCAAGATTAGAACCAGGCCTGTTTCAAAACTGGAACCCATGGTCACAAGACATTCCTTATATTTCACTGACCAATCATCGCACGTATGACTTAACGCCTGACCCCCCTGCGCATGTGCAGATCAAAGGATTCGAAAAGGCTCTGATCGAGGCTATCAATGCGGCTCGGGCAACCGAAGCAAGCAAGATGTCGCTGCCAAATTTTGAAGTAGTTGAGGAAGAACTGCCCATTACAGTGTACTTAGGGATATCGGCGATGATTGTCAACCAGAGCAGACTTGGCTACTGTAAGGACAGAGGTACTGTCTTTTACTAAAAGCCCGATTTTTTTTCTACAATGCTATTCATAATCTGGTATTTCAGTAATGGGTAAATTGAGCTTCTAACACCATCCAGTTGCAAAGGAAATCACATACAAACTATAATCCATTATATAACAGAAGTAGTTAACCGTGATAATTGTCTTTGTAGGTAACGCAGTTTAAAATCTGTGCTCAAAGTTAGATTAATATTTGACCTGAAGTTAGACATTTTATGGTTATTATAAAGAAATATTTTACTTAGATCTTATTAACCGAGCGGGAGGTTTGACGGGATAATCTTGACCGAGGTCGGAATGTACAGACCGAGGTCAAGATTATCCCGTACAGACCTCCCGCTCGGTTGATAAGAGTCATATTATATGACCACTTTTCGCCGTAAGATTMATATGCGATCGGACCGGTTAATACCGGAGAATCTAGACCAGTCCGCGATGCGATCTATCCAATCAGATTGCTCGATTTGCTAGTGTCCAGGCTCTAAGATTCACGGTCATATAATAAAGTATATTATAGACAAAGTGCTGATTCTTCAAGGTCATTTACGCACTTCATTCATTGGCGATGCTATTTTAAAGGCTTTATAGTTTTTTAATTTCAAAGAATTTGAAATAAATGTGATTTGAAAATTGACTACAGTAATCCATGTGTTTTACACCGTCATTCTTGGGCTTTCCCTTTTCTATCAATTTGGTTTTCTTTTCCGGGGTGATGGCCAGAACTTTTTAGTACGGCATCCATTTCATGTATGGGTGAGGTAGAAGATGGAGTTGGTCCATATGCCATATATACAAGGGGCGCTATATGAATAATCATCGATGCATTATGTCTTTCTAACAGATGTACTGCAATTGCATTTCTGGCTAAGGTCCAGCTTAAAAATGTCGAATAGAGGTTTGCACCATCACGTGCCGGCAGCCATAATTCCCAAAAGCAAGGGATCTTATTGTTCTGCCATCTAACCACAGGCAACTCAAGCTGTATTATGGGCGTGGACACGTGGTGCAAAACCTCTAAGCACGGGTGGCGTGCGCTGCTAATGCGCCGCCTCTCTCCAATGCGACCCGAGTTCGAGCCCCGCCGTGCTCGGTTTCGTATGTGAGTAGAGTTGTTTGTTGGTTCTCTCCTGTGCTTCGAGGGTTTTTCTCCGGGTTCTCCGGTTTTCCTCCCTCCGCAAAAATCTTCTAAAATTCCAATTCGATCTTGGGCTTTCACCTAGCATGGATCTGTGGTTCCGTTCGTGATTGTCCCACTCTGTGAWTACAGACAAAACTGGTAGATTTTTTTTCTCGTCTCGTTTAATGCAAATAAGCAAAGCCTATTGTTTGAATTCATTTGCATTAGATTCGGATTGTTTAGAATATAGAAGCACTCAAATAAATCAGGGGCTCCTCCCAGCCATTAGTACTCCTAATACTACCGATTTGAAACACTGGAGATGTTGGGATAACAGAAACAACTATAACGTAAACATAGGCCAATGTAGTAAATGGTCGTATCAAAACGAAAAAGAAAAGAAATTGTCAAGTCTAATACTGCATGGCCTGGCAATGAAAACAAAACCGTTTTAGAAGTTCAGTGGTGTTTCACCAAGAATCGTAGATGCCTTTTTTTTTTTTTTTTTTTTTGTCCCATGGAATGTCCCAAAATTTTAATTTTTACCGGGAGAGTAGATGTGTCTAACCCTTCAAAGGCAGATAAAACTTGACGTAAACAAGAGTCGCGTGCGATAGTTGTGAGGAAAAATCGTATCGGGTACGTAAATCGGCCTTCAGAGTGTCCCTCGCAACAGAATCAATCCGGCCCTGTGCGGAAGAACAGATCGTATTTCCTATGGAACAGATACTTTGCCATAATTGAGATTGCATCACTAATAATCAGGAGAGAGGCATGGGAAGGGCTGCTTCAACATCTTTTTTAGCTTGTCTTGCAGAGGTGAGGTGGGACCGAGCGAGAAGGGCCTTGCAGGATGAATCGATCTTAATAGGGTAACAACACCAGACACGTATTGTCTATAAATGATTTTTTCTTTCACAAATTTCAAATATCTTAGTAAATTTCCATGATGCCATAAGCATCAAAATATCACAGTCAGCATCACAGTAATCTTCCTATGTGTCGTGCATGACCTTGTACAGATATTATACAATATTGGATGAGGTCGAGCATGATATCGTAAATTATCAACACCAAGGCCGTGTTATCTGCCTTGGGCTGAGACAGATAAAACAGTCGAGGGTCATAATTAATTCCCGCTTTTTCGGACGCTAGTTATTACGGACACTTAGTGACGGTCCCGAGGTGTCCGCTGTAACGAGAGTTGACTCATATCATGCAAAAACCGAATTCAATAATTGTTTTATCATTAATTTTATCAACTAAAGATAAAGATTTTGTTCTGTTTTCGAAAAAATAGCAAACATTATTTCAATACCCATTGACTATTGTGTAGTACAACGTCACTGATCACTCCCCTGACTGGATGGAAGCTGCTTGCCTCAGATTAAATATCGTTATACCACTTATGAACGTCATGTAAATATACTTCATGCATGTCAGTCAAGGATACTTTCATATTCAGATACACTTATTTCAATAAAGTTAGTCACCTAAAGAGCTACAAAGGTGAGACCGACAAGGACTATGGATAGACACTTTACATGTTTCAACCACCGCTTGATAACTGTTGATGGACTTGAGATCTTCTACCAGTTACAAGTTAACCTCCTCTGAGCATCCTCAACTGCTGCAGTTTGTGTCAAAAGCTTTACTCGTTGGATATAAAATATTTCCCATGATTCTAAGCGATCACAGTTTTCTAGGTTTTTGGTGACTAACTTTATTGAAATAAGTACATAGAGGATATTACACACTGCACGGAGTTACAGATTTTATCTTAGAGTGTTCAGAGGTGATTTCTTGGGTTGTATGTTACGTAATAGCCGCCATGTTGGTTGACGCTAACAAAGCATTCCTCATTAGCTTCTCTTGTTATAAACCAAAATGGCGGCTGTTTGGTTGTTTATATCTCGAGAGATTTTGAGTCATGCACCCAAAAAACCCCAAGCAGCAATGTAATATTCTGTTTGATAATATAATTCTTAATGAAATACCATTTCAATGTTTTTTTATTATTTAATGCGATTTCTTTAAATGGTGTTAGAGTGAAGTCACTAAGCCTATGAAATAGATATTCAAAAGAACTCGTCATCGCTTATCACTACCGCAAGTACAGCAGTGGCACAGCTCAACGGGGTCGAAAAAAACGGAGGCCCCCGAAACCCCCGGAGTCAGAAAGAAAACCCACCAACTCGGCTAACATGGGGCAACTGGGATAACCAACTCCGAACCTCGGTGGTGAGAGTTGAGTGTTTCACCACCACGACATCCTGACTCCATTTATACTAGACATTTATTTTTGTATCCGCAATTTTGTTTTTTGTTTTGTTTTGTTTTGTTTTTTTGTTTTTTTTTTTTTTGCGGATACGGGTACGGTCGTATCCACAAACTTTACGAATACGCTGACGTAAACACGATTTTGCGCATGCTCAATAAGAAAAACTATCCGTCAAAGGGACTAGGCACTAGCGTGCATCAGGGCGGATCAAGAAATTTCCGGATACGTGTGGACAGTG